CCCCCCCCCCCTCACGGGCAACTCTCCCCCTTGATGGGCTCCCGCACCCCACACCAGGCATCCTTCCTATACAGTGCCCTCGTTGTCCTACATGGGCTTTGATGACCCACTTGGAGGCACCATGGCCCACCCCTCCCCTACCAGCCTGCCATGCTCTGCCTTCATGAACAGCTTGAGGGCTGGATTGTTCAGGAAGGTAAGGAAAAGAGAAAGCAGCTTAATTTTTTTTATTATAAAGATATTTACTGAAAATACGTAAAACTAGAAAAAGCAGAAAGTAGAGAACTCGATTTGATCACAGCATCCAGAGAAACCCAGTGGTCATATGGCAGTTAATATTGTGCCCTATGTTCTTTCTCTGTGTTCGTATCAGTATCTAAAACGAATTCTTGTTCCCATCTCTGTCCATCTACACCCGTCTTGTCCTTTCTGAATGTCAGGTACCTTAGTCATACCTAAACCCAGAAAGCAAAAGTGACAGAGAACTTTAGAGAGTGAGCTGTCTTGGTGTTTTTAAGACATAGACTTTACCAATGGCAACAGGACAGTCTACTATAGACAAAGTCTGAGGCTCCATCTGGTTGTTTGCCAAGGATTTTTGGTCAAGGAATTGGCACAGAAGCCCAGCCAGCCTATCTCAACTTCTCTGCATAGTGGCTACCATCCTCATATTGGAAATGCCCTTAAAAAGTTTGAAAGCATTTTATGAAGTTGGTAAGTGTTTAGGAAATACTTAAATAAAAGAAGAAATGGTTTAATGCATTTTTTTTCTAGTCTTCTGGGAACAGTAGGCATCTCAATAAGCATATAATCAGCTTTAAAACAAAAATCAGGAGGCTTAAAAATATTTTAATTGCGAATTTAACCAAATCTCCATTGGAATTAAAAAAATATATAACATGTCTCCTAGGCAAGAACATGGAAGTGCAGAGCCAGGGTTTTAATAATGTTTTACTGGACTCAGATGCTTTGCTTTTTATTTCTGTTGGGTTGTGTGTGCATGTGTCTGTTTATAAATATTTAAGTTTGAGTGAGACATGTGCTGTCGATGCTGATGGGGGGATGGAATCCAACACAGCTCTTTTACAAGCTCTTAGGAGATGAGGCAGGAACCATAACCCGGCTCTAACTCCAGGTCTGAGCCTGTGAGGAATGTCGGCCCAAAGCACCCGGCTCAGGGTAATAAACTTCTAATGAAATTTCTTTCCGGCACAAAATCCGTGGGAGAGGTTCGTTTCAGAATTGTGAGTGGGGGAAATGGTTCTTCTGAACCGTGGAAGGAAACACACAATCAGGCCGTTGGCAGCTCTAAGCGACACGGGATGCTAAGAACAGCCAGCCCTGTAGACGACGCGGCCCCTTTGGTGCAGGCCGTGGCCAGCAGGGTCGGCTGCCTGAGAGCATCTCTGGCTGTGAGAGGCTCTGGGAACCACATTTCCCTCCTGGCACCTTGTTATCACAATTAGCACATCTCTGTTCTTATTAGCTGCATAAATATTTATGTCACTGAGTGACAGAGCCTCGGGGCTCTTGTCAGCCTGCAGCCTTTATGACGCTGCTCCACCCTCCCTGTGGGCTGCCCGGGTGCATTACACGGCAGGACCCGTGGTGGAGTTCAGGAGGGTCACCTGGGCATTGGGACATGATGCTTTGTGCTTGAGTGACCGAGTTAGGAAGCGCGACGAGCGTTAAGTGCAAGAGACATTGCAAAGGACACGTCAGAGCTGTAGTTGTGTCTCTGGCTCCAGGATCTACTGGACCGACCCCTCAAGGGGACAGATAGCTCAGAAGTGCCCCTTCTGTTGTAATGCTGCATCTCCCTCCCTCAAATGAAATGATCTCTGCCTTCCTCCTGCACACCTGCCAAGCCACCGCTGACCACGGTGTAATTCTTTCTTTGTTTTCATTGCTCTTGTATTTCTGAAGGTCCTGTGTCCCTTAGGGCCGCTGGCTCCATTAGACAGTAAGGAAGTTTAGGGGAAGGACTCTGTCTCTTCACCTATGAACTAAACAGGGCACAACTCACACATTCTGGTTTCCTGACAAGAAATATCAGAATCACTAACAAATACCGACCCAGCTTTATGATGTTTTTCCTTTGAAAATCCAAATTTTGGATAGGCATATTTCTACATTTACAGACATTTTAAAAAGTAATAAAATATTTAGAACATCTAAAAACTTTATCTATTTAGAAGAGAAATATCATCCAAGATTAAAAATGATTTTCTCCTGGAGAGATGCCCATTTCTTTTCTTCCTGCCCACCCCCCGGGAAATTTAAGACTAACGGAGTACATTCAAGGGCACGCTGCTGCTCCAGATGCAGCTGACTTTTGTACCCCATGCCATTCATGTAGCATCTTTATTACTGTCTCAGTCTATTCTAAATAAGCCCCCTCCATGTCCCCCTCCGTGTCTGTGCGGTAAATTCCCGATCCCCTGATCAACTACTGTCTCCCTGGCAGCAGTGTCCATCCGTCTGGTCCTGCCATTGCCCATGGGCATTGGGTGTTGGAACTCAGCAGGTATTTGACCTCATCAGCATCATTATCTGTCATCTTGAGCCCACACCAGCCCACCTGAGG